GACCATAGATATTGGTCTTAATTGCATGACCAAAAATAACACATACCACTCAAAATTGTGAAGATGATCTTCCAATCTTGAATTTTGAACCACACTTTCAACAAGGGGTTGTTTGAAAGGCAATTTTGTAGATGAGTTGAAGGCCAAGAATCATATCCACAAAAGAAATTTGAACACATGATGCTTGTTTTTTTTAAGGAGTTGTTTAGATTTGGGGGGGAGGGGGCAAAGCGGACTGTTTTTATGGTTTTTGTAGCCTAAAATTGCCTAAGGACGGTGGGCAAAGCAGACTGCTTTATGGTTTTTGCAGCCTAAAATTGCCCAAGTCCTTATTTAACCATATAATGACAAAAGTGGGTCTAAAAGCCGAAGCTTGGTGATAAATACAGCAGTTTGGGATGTTTATGAATTGCCCCAGACTTGAAAATCCTTATCTATGGCCGTAATGTGGGATACAATACTACTATTTAACATTCACAGAATCAAAGCGAAAGCTTCGAAATGAAATCAAGCATAATCAAAATGATGTTAGCATTCAAATTCTGGTGATAAACCACCAATTTAGGGTGTTTCTATTTCCCTTAAGTTAAATAGTCTTAATTGTAGTCAAAACATGAAGCATGGCTTCAAGTGACTAAACAGTCATGCAATCAAAGCAAAAAGCTTGAAATAAGCTCCAAAATGAAAAAAGATCAAAATCATAGTTTGTACCATAAACCACATATTTAGGAATAACTTTAACGCTGTCCTGGCAGTCAAATCTTTATCCATATTCAAAATCCAGGAAGAGATATTCATATGATTTGGTAATCACAAATTGAAAGCAAAAAAGCTGTGTGATAAACCCAAATATTACCAGGAAGTCAAAGAGCATTTTAGGATTCAAAATCTGGTAACAAACCAACAATTTTGATGGGACTTTGAAGTATCGAGGTAAGAAAAGGCTTAAGCTCGACCGTAACAAAGAGTCTCCTCCAAACTAGAAAGCTTCAGCCAATTTTTGACAAAATTGAGCCCAAATATACCAACAAATATTCGGCTAAATATAAAATGCATTAAAATGAAGGCTCAAGTATAAGGCTTTAAAAGGGCAAGGTGAAGTCCCAAAAAGACATGGATAGCAGTTGTGAGAAACGATACGGTGACTTTTGGTGTTATTGATGGTATGACCGTTGATAGAGAGAATAGAGGAACAAAATTCATTTAGCCAACCCCAAATAATTGGGCTAAGGCTTGGGTGATGATGATTATAAAATGCCATTAAAATAGCGAAAACCATACTTAAATGTGAACAAAAGGCTCAAATCTAACAATGGTCAAATATTGCTAGAGACTTTTTTGTCATTTAATGCCTACTTTACTAAACCATAAGGCATCGAGATGATTGACAATTATGCCCTCATGCATTAAAATTATCTTTTGACCCTTTGCTAATGGTGTCTTAAGGGAGTCCACCCACATGGCTTCAGCGGTAGGGAAAAAGTCCCCACTCACTCCTAACTACCATAACCCACCATTTTCATATTTAAAATTTGGGCAAGGATGAGTTCCAGAAACACTACTCTGAGAATATTGACAATGGAGATATCACAAACACAGATAAAACAGAGAAAATAACATAGAGACAGAGACAAAGAAAACAAAGCTTATAAAGAAAGACCCATCTACCAAGCGTATTCTTGGATGATTTTAAGCCCATCCTTTTGCTTTTCTTCAATGCATTTTCTAAAAATCAGAGGTCTTCTACATCACTTCAAAAACATTCAGTTGTGTTCTAGTTCAATATGTATCCTCCATATGTAACTAACAAACATCTATGAGTGCTTTAGGATTGATGTACCCAAATTATATAATTAAAAGCCCAAAAAGGGTGAATTTAATTTCTACCGAAGTTTTGGTTCTCTTTATTCATGTAAGGTTAAAAATGCATCTGTCAAGCAAAAAGTAGAATACCAGGAACACAAGGTATTTTAAATTTTTTTATCCTACAAAGAATTTTTCATTTAGCATGTCTCCTTTTATATGGAATATGCTAATAGAAACTGATGGAAATTTACATTTGAATATTTACAAACTCTACTGGTCATAGATAGGAACAAGAAAAAAAGCAGATACGTAATGTATATCATGGGAAACATATTGGATCATTACTCTTATGTGCACTTTTCAAGCAATCAAGTGGGATTGATGGAATTCCCAAGGCATTCTATATTAATATAAACGATTGGTTATTTTCATACTACACAAGTTGACAATCAAATTCTTAATATGCCCATCAGGTAGTAGCTAAGAGACGCTTTTCCTTTAATGTGACTGACCACCAACTATAGGTCTCAGAATCAGCAATTGCAATAAATCTTTTCTTTTTTTCTTGCTAACTCTACAGAGTTGGGAACTTTGCAAGAATTTATTATTTAAATTTCTGCATAAAGTCCATGTGATGCCTTGATCTACAGATGGTATTAGAAACTCCTTACAGCAGTAGAGCCATCCCTTTAATATCTTGCAGATCCAGAGCTCTTGCTACATTGGTCCAACTTCATTTCTTCTCAAAAAAACAAAAGTCATTTCTTCTTTCGTTTCTATTAATGTCCCCTTTCTTGAAGAAGTTCCTACTATATCCAGTCAAAATTTATACCCATTGTCCTTTCTTTTATAGTGATATCTATTCTCCTTCACTCTAGCAATTCATTATAGAAGATTGAATTCCCATATTGAAATTCCTACAACTTCTGTTTGATCTTCTGATTCTACCATTACTATTTCTAAATATCAGTGATTCTTTTTTTGAGGGGAATATATCAGTGATTATTTCCCTATGGAATTACATGGATCCCAACAGAATTCCTGTTCCAGCTCCAGAAAGTATGCACCTGAACTAAATTTCTTGCTTCCTAAGCCTAACTAGATTTATCCCCTACCTCAGAATTGAACTCTGCCCTAATCTTTAGGTTTTCGTCTCAAGAGGCATGTAATCATTTACTCCACAAATACTTTCTCCATAATTCATTGTTTAAAAAAGTCCAACACCTTGAGCATCAAAGCTATAGGAACAAAAACATTAAGTGAAAAGCATGCTCAAAGTTCCATTCCCGTGGCTACCAGTACTGTTAGAAAAAGACAAACAAAATTCTTGTGCTTCAACTAATAGCTTTAACATTTAATAAGCCAACCTAAGACTCATCCAGGTAAACCACATCCCAAGCACCCGAGTTGATAAAATGAATCAAACTCTAGCCAAACTCTAGTTCAGATTTCCATGGACTCAATCAGGTTTGGCATGTAATCAAAGAAGTTATAGATCTAACCAACTTGCATCTGCTTCTCGTCAGAAACCAAAAAGCTGTTCCCTGGTTTTTGCAGCAAACTTTTTGATCCTTGAATATTTTGGAGGGGGCAATCGGCAGACTTTGTGCATAGGCACTATATGCTAGGCCAGCACATTTCATATTCACAAAGTCGAGGAATTTTTGTCGACATTTTGTTTCTATTTGTCATTTTTTTAGGGCACATATTCCACCACAAGTAAGAGCTAAAATTCCTCCACTTTGGATTTGCTTCTTTTGAAACTGCCTGTGCCAAAATCGGTCGGCGATCTCTGAACAAAACGTATGCCCAGTAGGTACTCAAACTACATAATATGCTTATTCATTAGTTTATTTTATTTTATTTTATTTGCTGACTTATAAGTTCATACTCATAAACCATCAAGAAACACAAAACTTCATAATCATCGATCCACTATGTGACTCACAATCATATATTGATGTCACGTACTCGTCATTGTTCAATAACTTTTACACCACAAAAGTCACATAAGAGACTTATCCTTTTATGCTTACGTCACATCTGCAATGAAGGTTCATGCCTTGCAAGTCACCTGGCGTCTAAAACTCAAGCTTGGCTCATTCCTTTCTCAATGCTGCATGTTACCCTGGGGATTTTGCCCATCCATATATGCTTAGGTTTTATAGATCAAGTTCAGCTTTTTCTTGTGCATCTCGGTTTCTCAAATATTTTTATGACCTGGCTAACAAAAACAAAATTATTTTGCTTCTGTGCTTTCTCATTCCATTCTATGGTAAATATCATATAATGACAAATAGTTTTTATTGGTACCAGCTCAATGAGAGCACACACATCATTTTCTATCGTCGTCTTCCTTGAGGAATATCACATACCAATCAATAGATTGAAATTGCTACCTAAGAAGAAAAGCAAAATCCTAAGAACATTTACATATCAGACTAGCAGCTCGAATTTTATACTTTCACCTACTTTGCTTTTCTCCATAGGGAAGGAAGACAACATCCCAGCAAGTAAGCATCTTCTTCTTCTTCCTACAAACTTCTACCTCCAAGTGTTCATTTCTTCAAACCAAATCCCCATTCTTCCTTACTGCTTGTTATATCATACATTTGCATACTCTCAATTGTGGTAAGTTTTTTAAATCGTTATATTGGCATTCACACCAAATTCCATGTGTCGACCATTTTATTCCATATTGTGAAATCACAATTTTCATCTCCATTCATAGACTTCAGGGTATGCAATAACAGAAATTTCAAACTAAATACAATGAACGGCTCTCCAATTCTAAGAGGGAAATTTGATACATAGAAACCAGAAAAGAAAAAAAAATCAGAAATTGAAAAGAATTACAGGCAACATACCCCTAGATTGTTCATAAAATCAGCCAAATATGAGCTATTTCGATCACTGTAACAGTAAGCCCACAACAACAATATCGGAAACAGACTTGGAAGAAAAACCCAAGATCATAATTACATGATTCAATAACAGTTTCCATCAAAACCCAAGCAGGATATCACATATGATTCAGTAATTTTGCAAGCATTCAGTTTTTCTCAAAATTAGACCAATAGAGACCAAATATAAACACATGGGTTTATATCACCAAAAAAAAATGGAACTCAAAAATAGAAGAAAAGGAAATAAAAACACAAAGACTTTGGAAGAAATGGGGAACTCTCTGTTACCTGTAACAGGAGAAGGACTTGGTGGTAGCAAGAGCTCCATCACTGAATCTTTACCATCCAAAAAATGTAACGAATATTATCTGTTATCAATAGTACAAAGACAAACAAAAGGACAGGAAATTTGCCTATTGATTAGCGTAGAAAGTCTATGGTCACCAGCCCCAATCACCTTCTAATCTATGGATGGACAACGCGATAGTGAAATGCACTTCGTAATTCTTTCGCTACCACCGTTCCCCATCACCGTCAATCTATTGATTGAACCGTGATAGTTACTCAGAATTCGGAACAAGTAGGTTGTCTATGTTTGCATGGACGTGCAATAAGATTGTTTACTTTCAATCACCTTATTAGATGTGAAATTGGGTGGCTAGAGTTGTATCGCTCAAAGCCGATAGAGAATTTCTCGAGCTTTGTGACAAATCCTAAACCGTTGGATGTCATGTCCGATGGCCATGAGTCTAAATGTGGATCCAATTGTTTGTATAGATATGCTACTCAAACTTCAATCCAAGATTCTTTGATGGAACCAAAACTTTCAAATTGTATTTATCGCACTCCAAGATTTAAAAATGGGTGCGGTTTGTATAGAGCCAAGCTCTAAACAATCAAAGTAAAATGCACTTTCAAATAGTCTCAAGAAATATGGTTTCAATATTATAAATCTTTTTGATAGTGTTAACATATATTTTTATATTTAATTATAAAATTTAAAGCTTCAAAAATAGTGTAGGTCAAGCAGATTTATGAAAACTTGAAAATTGACGGTCAAAAAATACATTACAAGATGCACTGTTTCCATAAATCTAAATATATATTTTTCTCATGTTTATGCATCTTGATGTCAAGATGATCAATTTGAGGATATTTGGGCATCAAAACAACCTCTTCTATTGAAATTTTTGAGGTGGACTCTAATTTGATTGTTTAGAGCCTCAGCTCTATATAAATTTTTATCTTGAAAAAAGAAGGAAGAAATAAACATGAAGAAAGATGTTCCAAATGATAAATCCCCTTAGATCTAAAAATAATGATTGTAACATATTATCAGGACCATCCATTTTTATTATTTGTAGGTGTTTATAGATTTGTTTGATCTCCATTATTTTTTAAACTTTAAATTTCATATTTAGTGGAGAAAATAGATTTTCAATCCATCATAGCAGCTTTTCGCAGAATAACCATATCTTCTGGAAGGTTAGATGCGCCTTACTTTAATTATTTAGGATTGTTTTTCTTTTTGGATAAATAAAGTGATAAGTCAGTGGAAATTTGAGCCCCTACCCTTTGGTGAAAATGGAGTCAAAAACCTCACCAAGAGACCCGACAATACTACCATCAAAACCCTAGGCAATTCATTATTTAAGGCTGTCACCTTTACATAAACCTTAGAATGGAGAATTTATTGAGTTCATTGTATAAAGATATATTATTTGTCATAACCTTTGTTTGTAAATTGGAAAATACTTTTATGGAATAAATTCTTGATTAAAAATGAAAAATTTTAAAAGTTGTAGCATATATATTATTTTTAAAAGAACTTAGGAAATCTACAAATTTAAAAAATTTATCACATCAAAACCATATCAATTAGAATTAAGATAGTCAAAGCTCCAAAATACTCAAATTGAAAAATTTGCAATCTTTCTGGCTAGTGCCAATAATCACCATGAAGTTTTTAGAGGCTTGAAATCCTAACCATCTTCATCAAGTGCATGTCTCTATCCTAATACAAAATCCCACTATAGGCACAATCTAATCATGGTCAAAGCCCATATCAACTCCCAAAACCGGATTGGCTCAACATGGCTGGTCCACATGCCATACAAAGGGTGTCATGAATGCAAAAGTGTTATTAGCAACTGAGACCGTACCGGTTGTATTCTAATGTTCATGCTTAGATTAATATCATGTATTATCAGACAAATTTTGACACCAGGATGTAAAGTTATGCCTATTTTAAAAATTGAGCTTGAAAATGCACCTTTTAGGCTACACACAATTATTATGAGAATTCAAACATAAATTGTGATCATGTAGCTGAATCTAAGAGTCATGCAGCTGCAATCAAAACTTTATGTATGACTAAGGCCGTATACGTGTGAGTGCATGCGTGCTGCCTCGGTCTTTTTAAGAATTGAGCTTGAAAATGCACCTCCTGAAGCTATACAAGATTACTATGAGAATGCAATCATAAACTATGATCATGCAGTTGCATCTAGGATACATGCAGCTGCAGTTAAAACTTTGCATACGGTTGAGGCCATATAGGTGTGGCCTCAGTCATTTGGTCTAACCACATGTATACTGCCTTGAGGCTGTACATGTGTGATCACACCCCTATGAGGCCGCACCAAAATCTCACATTGTATCGCACCAAATCCCCAATGAGGTCAAACAATTTAGGGATGCTACCATGGTCGTGCATGTTATGGTGCAAATGTGTTGTGGGTACTCAGAGCTATACTGGCTCACACATGTGGGTCTCTTTTTTTTTTTCTGAAAATGCACCTCCTGAGGCTACACATGATTACTATGCGAATGCAATCATAAAATGTGATCATGCAGCTATATCTAGGAGACATGTAGCTGCAGTTAAAACTTTGCATATGGCTAAGGCCATATAGGTGTGGCCTTAGTCATTTGGTCCAACCCCATGCGTGTTGCCTCAAAGCTGTAAATGTGTGATTGCCCCCTTTGAGGCCGTACAAAAATCTCACATTGTATGGCACCAAATCCCTAATGAGGCCACACAATTTTGGCATGCTACCATGGCAACACATGTTATGGTCCATCTGTGTTGTGGGGTACTCAAAGCTATGCTGGCTCACACATGTGGGTCTCTTTTTTTTTTGAAAATGTATCTCCTGTGGCTACACATGATTACTATAAGAATGCAATCATAAAATGTGATCATACAGCTGCATCTAGGAGACATGCAGCTGCAGTCAAAACTTTGTGTATGGCTGAGGCCATACAGGTGTGGCCTTAGTCATTTGGTTCAACCACATGCATGTTGCCTTGATGTTGTATATGTGTGAATGCACCGCTATGAAGCCCCACCAAAATCTCACATTGTATGATACGAAATCCCCAATGAGGCCACACAATTTGGGCATGCTACCATGGCCACACATGTTATAGTGCAACTGTGATGTGGGGTACTCAGAGTTGTGCTGACTCACACATGTGAGTCTTTTTTTTTTTTGAAAAATGCACATCCTGAGGCTACACATGATTACTATGATAATGCAATCATAAAATGTGATCATGCAGCTGCATCTAGGAGACATGCAGTTGCAATCAAAAATTTGCGTATGGCTAAGGCCATATAGGTGTGGCCTTAGTCATTTGGTCCAACCGCATGCGTGCTGCTTTGAGGCTCTACATGTGTGATTGTACCCCTATGAGACTACACCAAAATCTCACATTGTATGGCGCCAAATCCCCAATGAGGCCACACAATTTAGGCATGCTACCATGACCGCACATGTTATGGTGTAACTATGTTGTGGGGTACTCAGAGCTGTGCAGGCTCACACATGTGAGTCTCTTTTTTAAAAAAAATGCACCTCCTAAGGCTACACATGATTACTATGAATGGAATCATAAAATGTGATCATGCAGCTGCATCTAGGAGACATGCAGCTGCAGTCAAAACTTTACGTATAGCTGAGGCCATATTGGTGTGGCCTTAGTCATTTGGACCAACCACATGCGTGCTGCCTTGAGGTTGTATATGTGTGATTTCACCCCTATGAGGCCGCACAAAATCTCACATTGCATGGCACCAATTCCCGAATGAGGCCACACAATTTGGGCATGCTACCATGGCAGCAAATATTATGGTGCCACTGTCCACTCAGAGTTGTGCCTGGCTCACACATGTGGGTCTCTTTTGTTTTGAAAATGCACCTCCCGAGGCTACACATGATTACTATGAAAATGCAATCATAAAATGTGATCATGCAGTTGCATCTAGGAGACATGCAGCTGTAGTCAAAACTT